GTACAAAGTAATATTGGGTTTAAAAAAAATCCTTAGTTGTAGCACGGAGTCTGGAATTGTGCCCGGCAATAGGCTCACCCCTACTACATGGGACTCATAACACATGTGTTACATTTTACAGTGGCATTGAGTACCGTAATGTGCACCTCTGCCTACCCCTTCGGGGATAAAATGCATAATGATGTTATGTTTATATTACTTTTAAAGTCTAAACATCTTTACCATGGCTTATCGACTATAAAAATACAAATAATTTCGGATAAATAATCACGTTACTCCAAAATTTTTTTACTAAGATCCTGTTTATATGACTAATACCCTTACAATGTGTAAGTTTTGCTCTGAATTATTTTCCTTGACATTTCATTTAACTATACCTATCAGTAAAAATTTCCTCATTCTCAACATGGTAATTACCTAAGAAATACTGAGACACGGTGACAGTCAGTCTCTTTCAGGGCCGAACAAAAACTGTCGCATGTTGTAGATTTGTATTCCAAGAAGTCCTACGTAGATTAAAAAATGCCAAAGAAAAACGCATCTTAAGTAATTCTGACTAAGGTCTAATGGATGATTGGGTCTATTAAATAGATCTCATTTCCAAACATGAATCGGTTGGTATAACAGAATAGGGTAGTTTTCCAAATTTTATTTTAATGTCCGTCTGGTAGATTAATTTAAAACTTTAGACACGTATTTCTTATTTCCTCACAGAATTAAATACTTTCGACGATATATTAATTTGAAATATCGTGTGACGTCACAAAACACTACATTTGACCGTAATGACCTCCTAAACTTAACGACATTTAAACTGTCAAACACCAAGCGGTCACCGGTGACCGCAACCTATTGTTCTATAATTATGTCTACAAAACCGGTACTCGACGAGTTAATATAAGTATTGTAACTTTATACTTACGAGAAAATAAAAAAATACGTGTCTAATATTTTTTCATTATCTAACTGACGGACTAATTACATTTTTAATTTTCATACCCTGGCAACTACCCCAGTACTAGGCTGTTGTGCAATGTATCATGGATTTGATATGAATTCCCGTAGAACAACATGTTCTTTGTGATGTCGATATTTTTTATTCCGGGTTGTAATACGTATATTTATATATTTGTGTTTCTAAATACACCAATAAAACAACAGAGCATTTTAATAGGGGGGTCAATTTAAAAAAAAAAAACAAAGCAACGCAATCTTTTCGCATTGTAATTACTCATGTTTTACTAAATATATATGTATGTAGAGCTATCTCTATAGAAAAGTCCAGTAAAGTACAAATTCAAAAAAATCCCGTGAGACGACGCCATGCTATCTACCTCGTATTATTATAGGTGCAGCTAAACAGTGCCGTTGCACTGACAAGTACAGTTAGGTGCATTTACCTCGTCGAAGTTTATACAGGCCTAACTGCACGCGAAATTATTTAATGCTCGAAAAACGAGAGATATGGAATATAGGCTAATTGGAGCTAATGATCCGTGCTTTTATGTATGTATGTGTTAGAAAACGTAATAGGTATAACATAACATCACGCCTCTTATCCCCGAAGGGGTAGGCAGAAGTGTACATTATGCCACTGTACAATGTAACACCCACTTTTCACTATTTATGTTATGAGTCCCATGTAATAGGGGGTGGTTATCTCAAGAACTACTGGTCCGAATTTGAAAAAGTCTTCATGTTTTGGATAGCTCATTTTTCGAGGAAGGCTATAGATTATAAAGCATCACGCTACGATCAATAGGCGCCGAGCAGAGCTGGTCAAACAGCGCTGAAGTAGCTAATTATTAATATAATGATTCTATTATTCTGTCCGTTTAGTTTAGCCACGTCTCTTATATACGTAGTTATATAATGATTACAAATTTTCCATTCTTCTTATAGACATAATGATAGGTGTCATTAAAGATGCGATCATATGAATTGAAGATAATATAATAACTGCAATACAATTTATTACACTACGACTTTGATTGTTAATAGAAATAATAGCTAAAGCTATTGTTTATACGATATTCTCTAATGATGCTAATTATAAAGATGAAAATGGTGCAATTAAAATGTTAACTTTGACGTAAGTTTTTTTTTACTTCTTTGGCAAACGAAACGTAAGTTATATATGCCAGCAAAAAATGTCAATAAACCATTGATAATAAACTAGTTTTCTAGGTTCGAAAATAAAAAAAAATTACACGTATCCTGTATCTAATACTTTAGTTAACATTAAAAACAAACCATAGACATTTGGCTAGGCCCTAGTACAGTGATTCCCAAAGTGGTCCAGGTGGACCCCCATGGGTCCAGGGGAGACTTGCTGGGGGTCTACGTAGGCGTTAATAAACAATGGGGGTCCATAAGATGTTAATGGGGGTCCACCTGCTTTTGGTAGTAAAGAGCAAAAATGTGAGCATATTTTTTATAAGGGCCTACCTACATTGTTATAAGTACGTTGGTCATCGAAAGGTGCATGCTTAACGAGATTTTACTCTGTTTCCGATTTCGTATTAGAATTTCTAGAAAGCAGAGATCCAAATTTAAAAGAAAACTTGATAAAGAAAATTCAAACCAAACATTGCGTATTTGACTTTCATCTTTTTTCTCTTTTTTCGACTCCCCTTACAAAATGACCAAGTTACGTGACCGACTTCGTATGAAAGTTGAAACGTTCTATGCGAATTTTGAAAAGTCATACAACAAATGTTGTTCAAAATGGTTGGTAGAACACGCGGATGAAGAGATGTAAATGTTCACAAATACACGCTGTATAGGGACAGAACTCTTAAGCGACACAATTTTTTTTTGGCGACTTTGTATGATAGATATGTAGCAGTCCACCGAAACCAGTAAAATTTTGTTAGTGGTCCATGAAAAAAATAAGTTTGGGAACTACTGCCCGAGTACAACAATCTCATTTAAATTAATTTATTAATGAACTATGTTTGAAAAAAGAACCGCCTCAACCCCCTCGTTTTTGCAGTCCGTTAATTAATATACTAAAACATTTTTCTAAGTTTAACAATCATTTTACAGAAAACCGCATTAAAATCGGTTCAGCCAGTCGTAAGATAATGGCAGACAAACATATATGTATAAGTACATGCAGGTCCAACTGAGAACATACTTTTTTTGAAGTCGGTTAAAAAATATGATAACATAACATAACATATCATAACATCACGTCTTTTATCCCCGAAGGTATAGGCAGAGGTGTATGTAGGTACATTACGGCACTTAATGCCACTTTACAATATAACATCCACTTTTCACTATTTATGTCATGAGTCCCATGTAATAGGGGGTGAGCCTATTGCCATTATACCGGTCACAACTCCAAACTCCGTTCTACTACTCAGAATTTTAAAAACTCAGTAGTCCTTTGCCTGACCCAGGAATTGAACCCGAGACCCCTTGCACATCAGTCACACTTGCGACCACTCGGCCAACGAGGCAGTCAACAAAACAAAACAAATAACAAAAGTACAATCAACGAAAATGTTTCTTAACAAGACCTTCATCCGATAGTAGGTACTTACTTTACTTTTTACCAACAAATAAGTCGCACTTCTAATAAAATTGCAACAGACAAACAGACGGGTTACAACACATGTATTAGCAAGTGATGGTCCACAACATTGCCTTGACCTTAGACGTAGTCAAGATTCTCATCAATCTATACATAACCAGTATAAATTGACCGTCGAATATGCGACAAGATCACACAAAGCAAGACCACGATTAACTGGTTTCCTTTTCGATCTGTGTACCTCTAAATCACGCGATGTTATTGGGCAATGAATTGACACCGGCGCACGCGCATTGAGTAGTTTACGAACGATTGCCAATTTTTAAAGTTATTGAGGAAGGATACTTGTTCTTTGTATTCCGGTGCTAATTAGGAATAATGTCGTAATGTAATTTTATGTTAATTTATGTTAGTAGTAAACTTACGTCATTGAGTTGTAGTAGTGGTAGTCGTCTTGTCTTTGTTAGTATTCATTGTATAGTTAATGAGATATAGTTTGGCTCTGTTATGTCTATGTGTTCATTTGGTCATCACATGTTATGTAATGTTAAAACAACATTACATAACATCATGCCTTTTATCCCCAAAGGGGTAGGCAAAGGTCCACATTATACCACTGTACAATGTAACACCCACTTTTCACTATTTATGTTATGACTCCCGTGTAATAGGGGATGAGCCTATTGCCATATACCGGGCAGAATTCCAGACTCCGACCTACTACTGAGAATTTTTAAAAACCCAGTAATACTTTGCCCGATCCAGTCATTTGGGTTTTACTATTTTGGTTTTGTTATAGAACTAGATTCTGTTGGCAGTTTTGCTCGCATTCCCGTATAATGAAAGTAGCCTATGGTTACCAGGCCATAATCTACCCCTTTTCCAAATTTCATCCTTATCCCTTCAGCAGTTTGGACGTGAAGGAGTTACAGACAGACTTTGGCATAACAAATTTTAATTGCTGAAGTCTAATTGGTGGCTTGTTCATTCGCGAATCACTTAAGGGGTCAGTAGAATACCAGCGCAAGCCCCTGTCTTGCACATGCTGAACTGGTCCCATTTCACGGCGGACTTGGAACATGAACATGTATCCATCAGTTCCTACTAATAGAATAACACATGACACTGTTTTTTTAGCGTGAAATAAAGACTTCTTCCTTTCTTTCTTTCTTTTATAACTGAAGTATCTTCTTGCAAAATGAATGAACTCTGTTTTTATAATAACTATCGTGAGACATACTAAATTAAATAAAAACGCGGGTTACTCACGTGAATATACTGAGAAAAGCTCTACTAGTTTCGAACCACAGAGGGGTTCTTCCTCATGAGCAGCGTGCGCGGTCGCGGCGACGTCGCGCAGCTCACTTGAGCTCACTTGAGCGCAGAGTGAGCGTACGTGAGTAACTCGCGTTTTTACTTTACTTAATGAATGAACTCAAAATAATTTCCTTAATTTCAGATAAAAAATGAAACTGAAACAAGAGCTGCTGGTTCAGCCTGCCGGTGAACTGTGGAAGAGCATCCGAGTGGAGCTGAAGGAAGATGTGACGACTCGTGACAGAGACCTGGCGGCCATCAGGGAGTGGTTGAAGAAGCAGCCACATTTGCCTGATGATTGGGGTATATCTTCATTTTATTGATACTTATAATAAAGATTTTTTTAATGAATGCGATCCTAACGTATGTAACATTCTTTACAAGATAAAGTTTAACTCTGTTCTTTTCTATTTTCACTAGATCTGCTTGGTATTAAACATAACATTACGCCTTTTATCCCCGAAGGGGTAGGCAGAAGTGCACATTACGGCACATAATGCTACTGTACAATAAAACAACAACTTTTCACTATTTATGTTATAAGACCCATGTAATAGGGGGTGAGCCTACTGTCTTAGACCGGGCTCAATTCCAGACTTCGCAGTAATACTTTGCCCCACCCGGGTATCGAACCCGAGACCCCTTGTCCGGCAGGTGGCATCAAATTATTGTAGTTATTAATCATTATGCTATGATCTGGGCCATCGTTATATAATTTCATTTCGAATTTGTTATTTCGCGAAATATTTGAACAATTTGTGTTTTACACCAAGAACTGTCAGCGCGGGAATCCAACCCGTGACATGTTGTGTATCAGCTGGTAGCCCAGTCCCTCACCAACCTTACCAGTAATGAACTAACATCGACCACTTTCTAAATACTGTACTCTTCTGTTATTGAACTTCCGGTAAAAGAAACTGGCTTCTAAAAGTATTATTATTATTTTTACAGAAACGGGTCCTATAATGACCTTCCTAAGAGGCAGTAGCTTCTCCCTGGAGAAATGTAAGAGGAAGCTGGACATGTACTTCACGATGAGGGCCGCCTGCCCAGAGTTCTTCACAAAGCGGGACGCCACCAGACCTGAGCTTAACGACATTATGACCAACAAAATGTAAGAAACTTCTCCATTTGTTGTAGATTTCAATTGAAAGCAACTGTGCGATATGTATTCGTCATGTCTGATCGATCCACATAGAAGATTATCTGTGTGTATTAAATTTTATTTATTTTTCCATTATATTACATAGTGATGTACACCTTAATACTAGTTTTATAATATTGATAAAGTTTGTGAGAGAGTTTCTACATATGGTTTAGAGTAGTTTAAGTGACAATGCAATGATGGAAGAAACCCAAACTAGGATAATCTGTGCTATGGGCTCCTGGCCTTTCCGTCTCAGATATGGATTTTATATAATTAAAATTACAATTACATTTTATATAAGGAAAAACAAACGTACAAAATTTATAATAGAATTACAAACCAAAATAAAAAAAAAAGAAAACTCATACATAAATAACATCACTTTTATCCCCGAAGGGATAGGCAGAGGTGTACAGTACGGCACTTAATGCCACTGTACAATGTAACATTCACTTTTCACTATTTATGTTATGAGTCCCATGTAATAGGGTATATAGGTATATAACTTCTTGGAATTTATCCATATTTATCTTTCATATTACCTGTGAAATTACAATGTGACAATAAACAACCTTTCTTTATAACATTTTTAACATTTATCATCATGATATTTCAGTCAAGGACCACCGCTTCCAGGCATCACACCAAATGGTAGACGAGTGACTATTTGCAGAGGTGAGTGTTGCTAATTTAATTTGGAAAGGTAAAAGAAAGTTCGTCATCAACAACTCCTGATAGTCCGCTGCAGGACTATCAAACTCTTGTACTTAAAGAGGAATTTGCCAAGACTTCCATGTCACAGACAAAGTTAAGAAAATTTTTTAGTTCACTTAATTCACTACCATCTAAAAATAATCAAATAACAGAACAGTGTATGAGATAGTGAGCAAGGGACACGCAGGTCTCCCCAGGGAATATGCTTTAACAGGCGTTGCACCGTGGGGGCTCCGGAGCAGGTCTCTTCAGAGGACGCGGTGCCCCCTTACAGGTGCTGAGGGTGGCCACCAGGGTGGTTTTAGTGAGGAACGAATCCCGCACTCCCTTGTCTTTCTCCCCAAAAAGCTAGGCGCCTATTGAAGGTTTCCCACCGTCATCAAAAAAAAAATGTATGAGATGGTAATTTAATATCTTAAAATAATGATGCTTAACTAAAACTAGTACAGATTCCATACTTTTTAGTTCTTCAAAAAAGTTTATCTAAACTGCATTTACCAATGAATTTACTATTCATCTTCCAGGCATCCACCCCGATCTAAATTCGCAGCAGATCACAGACACTCTGAAGCTGGCTCTCATGATAGGAGATGTGCGACTAACAGAAGAGAAGGAAGGTGTAGCTGGAGATATATACGTGTTGGACGCTGCTGTGCTGGGAGCCAGTATGCTGGCTAAACTATCAGCTGCCACTATCAAGAAGTTCATGATATGTGTTCAGGTTAGTATAGTAGTTTGATTTTAAAGTGCCAGCTAAAATTCTTTGTATTTGTCAAAATTTGACCACACGGTTAGTGCGGGGGCTGGGCAACTGGCTGTCATGCCACGTGTTGCGGGTTCGTCGTCCCGCACGGAGCAACTCTTTGTGTGATCTATAAATTGTTGTTTCGGGTCTGGGTGTCATGTGTATGTGAACTTGTATGTTTGTAAACGCACCTACGATACAGGAGAAAGTGCTAGTGTGGGCAACGTTTTTTTTAAAGAAAAAAATAATAATCTGTAGCGTTGATCAGAGCAATAATAATACAGCAAAGAAGTAAGTTGTAAAAGTCACTCACTGTTGTGTTCGATGGTTTCTTATAGACAGTGCAAATATGTTTCGCAACTACTTTCATCATTGTCATAAGATCATATTAGTAGCATTTCAAATACACTTATTAGAGAATTTGAAAACCGAAAATCCTAATTAATGACTTTTTGGTAAATAAAACATGAAGAGTCTCGGTTGCCGAATTTTGGGAAAGTTCGATGAAAGATAATTTTATTGTAAACCTGACTAAGGAGTAATATTTCATTTTTACAGGAAGCATATCCAATCAAACTAAAAGAAGTCCACATCATTAACACGTCGCCCTTAGTCGAGCGATTTGTCAACTTCGTCAAACCTTTCCTCAAGGAGAAAATTAGGAAACGGGTAAGAAGCACTTTATAACATTTATAACCATTAGGATACAAGACTTCATTGAGAACATGAATATTTGAAAACTAGACAAAGTAGTATTTTTTGTAATAAATCTTACTTAGTCTATTATTAAGGGTGGATGTGCTTGAGCCATATATAAGGGCCTAATAAAATAAATAGACCACCAATATCGCAATAACTTACTGATGTTACTCTTTACAGCACAAACTAATTGCTTTGCGTATTTTTTTCAGATCTACATCCACAGAGAAGTGAAAGACCTCTACAAGTATATACCTCAGGAGATGTTACCCACTGAGTACGGTGGGCAGTGTGGCAGCATGGCGACACTACAAGGTAAGATAATAAATATCGACAAGAAGGTTTTTTTTATATCCGATGGGTTGACGTTTGACCACTATCTCGCCGGGTGGTAAGCGATAATGCGATCTACGATGGAGCACGTCGCCCCATAAGCAACGTATACCTTGAAGACACTCAGGTCACTTTCTTTCTCTGTCGTTTCGCTCTTGGCAGAGCGGTCGTGGTCACGTTGAGGCGGCCGTATTTGTGTTGGAGGCCGATACAGCATTCCTAACGATCTTCTGCAATCTTTCCCTATTTGTGGATTGTCTGGCGCAGTCTGACACTGGGTTTCCCGTTACCGATTTGACTTGATCAGTCCAGCGCATAGGTGATCTGCCTCGTGATCTGGTTCCCTCTACTTTTTCTTGGCAAAGAATTATACTTCTTAGCAGTACGCACAAGGAAGCTTGATGCGAAGAGCGTGTTAGGACATCTACCATGAATGGGTTGAGCTGGGTTAGGCTGAGCATTTACCCAGAGGTAACGGCTAGGCTTCAAAAAACTTTAAACTTCCATGATGTTTTGCAAGTATGACTTTCAAACTCCATATGACTGAGAAATTATATTAAGAATTTGATAGATGGACATCAATTATTTTTTAAGTGTACGTACAGCAAATGGTAGTTCATTTCGATTTTAGTTTATTATGGTGTACTAAAATATTTCCTCCTTTTATCTACAGAACAATGGAAGCTAAAACTACAAGAATACCGTGACTGGTTCAAGCGCCAGGACAGCATCATCGCCAACGAGTCCCTCCGGCCGGGTCGACCCACCAACTATGATGAACTATTCGGCATCGATGGATCCTTCAGACAACTTTCAATCGATTGATACGGAATCGATTTAAGCGTCAGGTTGACAGCGTCACATCACTAGAAATGTCAAAATGACGGATACGAGATTGTCAAACTGACACCATTGAAATTAAGTATTTTTTTAATCTGTGACTAGAGTTGTGTACAGGGTGTTTTGAAATACTATTTTTGTTTATTTTCTTTACTGTGTGATGTTTTTGATACAAAAGTGATATTAGTATCTAGCGTGCTTCTGTTCTTGTTTTACGAATTATTGTTTACTGTCATAAACTATCTACTACATTTATGAGTGAGTGTATCACCTACTAGAATATCTAGGGAAGGCAAGAGCACTGTTGCCTGGTCTGTCGGTCTTCCTGTTGCCTGCAATCCCTTAGTCGGCTCTTACGACACCTATAGAAAAAACAAGGGTGGTGGCATAATGTATCAACACATTTATCTATTCTGCCCTTTAAATTAGTTTCCCTCCTATAACTGGTATGGCCTAAATTGTACACACACTCATAAAAGCGGTGTCTTACGTCAAAGTCATGCTAAATTTCACCTCAGTGCGACACAACTTATAATCTTAGAACTAAAAGGGTATATTTAAGTATAGATTAATTCGTATTTTTATATAAATTAGATCCTATTATTATACTATTAAGTTGGAATTCATATAAATTACTTATGCACATAAATTAATGCTTCAAACACAATGGATAAAATATTGGATTAAATAGGTATCACATACATGTATTAAAAGCTACGAGCTGTATAAGTATTAGCGAATATTAATGAAATGAGATTATTATAAATGAATATAAATAAACAAAATGCTTTTACCGTTATTGATATATCACAAAATATAATTATCGAACGAAAGATGCTAGCAATGAAATTGCAAAAAATAAACTGTGGTATTTTAATTATTATTTTCAATAAAATTTCTCGAAAAATTAAGGAATAGTTTTTCTTTTTTCCTAACTTACTTAGCATTAAAAATTGTAGGTACTAGCTATTGCCCACGACTTGGTCCGTGTAGAATATGATTCCTATTTTTCCCATGAGAGCATTTAATCGAGATACAAATTATCCTATCACCGAGTATCCTACCTTCAAGTCAACCGAGGAGAACGTAACGAGGTAGTTTTTAATCAGTAACGCCCGAATACTAAAACGTTACTCAATTCTAAGTCGCGCTTAAGTATAGTTCTGTCTCCACTAATTCTTTGTGAAATGACAGAGATGGCACGATATAAAATTGAGTAACGTTTCAGTATTCCGGCATAGACTGACATATCCTGCCTCACCCAGGCGGGAAAAGTCATACAATGATTTTCATCCCTTTGAAAAAAATCACCTAAGCCCATACCCTATCTATATACCAAATTTCATCATAATCCGGTCACAAGTTTCTACGTGATGTACAGATAAACACCTAAATACCCAAACAAAGAAACTTTCAAATTAATGAGTGTGATATGAGATATGTGCTGGAAATAAGATAATTTAGCACAATTTCCCGTTAACTTGTCGAGTACCGGTTTTGTACACAATTATAGAACAATAGGTTGCGGTCACCGGTGACCGCTTGGTGTTTGACAGTTTAAATTAATCACAGAGCTTTTTTTTATTGTGACAAGCCTGCCACAACCTCCCAAAACCGGAACACTGAAGTCCGGCGCGTCTCAAGGACATGAGTAACTGTCTTAAACATAGTTTAATCTCAGAGCTTGCTCATCAATTATTAAAACACATTTTTTTTTTTTATCTACTATAAAAGGGGCTTTTGGTCGCATTATGACCACGCCAGCCCCATCATAAACTAATACAGGATTTAAACGCTATTCCGACTTAAAAACCTTATATACTATTTTATAAAGTAATATACGTATTCATCATCACCTCTCTAGCAGTTCGGGTTCTGACGCATTCCACCAACAAGTGATGGGCATCCTCCATCTGGGACTGTCACTTTTCCCCATTAAATCAAAACACATGTATCCAAAAATACAATTTTATTTGCCTTAGAAAATCTTCCATTCTAGATCTAGACGGATATTCAGTCTACGAACTGGCAACAAATAAACTGTTGGAACAAAGAACACATTATTTTTTATAAAAAAATATTATACGTAATGGTGTCTTAAACGATAGATGAAACATCCATAAATATTATGTGATCTAGTCAAAAATACTGGTGTTGGAATTGAAGGTCTTCATCACTGCCATCTCCTCAGGAGTCAGGTGGAAATCGAAGACGTTGATGTTCTCTTCAATGCGGTGCCTCTTGGCGGACTTGGGGAGTACGATGAGGTCTCTGTCCAGCTGAAAGATGAAAAAAGAAATTGGTCAAATACTGATCGAAACTGCTTCATTTTTTAAGTGCGGATGGTGCGTAGGAGCTCTCTGGTGCTATCGTCAAACTTCGATATACGGATGGCTAAAGTTGTGCTCATAGAAGCGTTTAGTTTTATAGTTGTTCCTATCTTGGGAATATTTAGCATTGTTTTCGTTTTTAATTAATTTTCAAATTAATAATGAGTTTACTGTAAATGCACTTCTGCCAACCTCTTTCCTCAGTCCCAAAAATATTCACGGCTATAATCAGCTAGAAATAGAATGCGTCCACTTCAAAACCAGGTATCTTTTATGTTGCCATAATTCTCAACTAACGAGTACAAGCATCACAGTTGGATTATACACACAAGAATACAAGTGTGGGAGAGCCATGCTTCGGCACGAATGCGCCGGCTCGACCGGAGTGATACCACGCCTCTGGTGTTCCAGGTGTCCATGAGCGACGCCGATTGCTTACCATCAGGTGATCCGTCGGCTAGTTTATCGGCTTACGCCATAAAAAAAAGAATATGTAGGTACTGCTCTTCATTCCTCGGTGGCTGATTGCAACTTTGGGACATAACCAAATCTAAATGATACCTATTGTTATTTTACTCACCAAGTACCGCAGAACGACTTGTGTAACAGTCTTGTTGTATTTCCTGGCGATGTTCAGGATCTTGGGGTCATCCTTGCCTGGTCGTCCATTTTGTCCCCTAGAGACGAAGAAACCGAGAGGACTGTATGCCATAACAGCAATGTTGCGTTCGAAGCAGTCCTTTACTGCTTCTTCTTGAGAGTTTGAGGGGTGGACCTGCAAGTGGAAAATGATGGAAAATTGATATTATAATGGAATTTCCGAATCGTATTAAAGGTGAACTGCTAATATTAAAGGAGTTTTATTTAATTCATATATGCTCGTCTCTTATTGTAACCATTTTGGGAATGTAAGAAAAAGACCTCTCTATTACAATAGGGTGCATGGCTAATTTTTATTTTAATGTCCGTTTGGTAGATTATTTTAAAACATAACACGCGTATTTTTTATTTCACTTGTTTCACAATTCTCTGTCATTCAACCATAATAGTATGTTTAAGAAAATATTATCTGCAATAAAATCACGGACAGAATATATTCTGTCAAAAAATATAGTAATTTTTCTGGTAACGAAGAGAGAAGATCGGAATAGGAGGAACCTCCGACCAGGGGACTTACTCTTGAAACCAATCTCAATGTCAATGTAATTTCAATCCAATAAAATCTCAATAATTATTCAATGTCAAAACTGTACAACCCTTATCGTAGCTATTAAAATAGCATTCAGACTACGGAATATAAAGCCAAACTCAATACCATTTAGTTCATTAAATATCCACCCAATACAGATGCAATGGGCGCTAGTGTTGCAACTCGAGAATACGAAATTTCATAATACCCATGTCGATCGATCGGAATTGGATTCAAGAGTAAGCACCCAGGTGAGGTGTTTGTATCTGGCGAGCTTTCCACCCAATAGTTGTTCGTTAAGAATTTTTATTCATATTTATTCGCATATTATTTGTCATGTGTCGCCACAGATAATAGAAGGTTTGCGTGCATTACCATATAACGAATACCTACTTTAGGAACCTATTTCTGTTTTACGTGTATCGATGAAACAAAGCATTTGTACATTAGTATTCTAGACTTATTTTACTTATTATGAGTAAACAATTCCACTCACATAGCAGCTCACGCAGCTATTCGATGTTTAGTCAATATAGCCGATAAATGTCCACTGTTGAGCAAAGCCTCTTCTCACACGGAGAAGGCTTGAGCATGAATCATTTGAAACTTATAATTAGAAATTGTAAGTCCAGGTTTCCTCACGATATTTTCCTTCACCGTTTGTCAGTGGGGTCTAAATAATCTTAGAAAGTATATATAGCTCGGAAAAAGTCGCATTGGTACTTGTCGTTGATAGGTTTCAAACTCGCACCCTTATGCATGAGAAGCGGGAGTCTTAACCTCAGAGCCAGCACGACACACTTTCGATGTTTACGATTCCTATACCACACGTATGTAAATACTTCAAGTAGGTATACATTTACATGTACCTATTGAAGGTCAAACAATCGCCTATCATCGTTCCATGACATGATGCTAATGACCTCAAGTATCCTTCAAACATGATTAAGGAACTTTTAAAATTATCACCAATAAAAACATTTCACTCTTATGTTTTTGGCCGTAAGGTTCAAAAGAACTCAACCACAAATGTTGCCCAATATTTTTTAAAAGCATCAATGAGGAAAAAATGTTCAAATAATAAACAGATAAACAAAAGTTAACAAAAAAGACAACGATATTGTCTTTGACTAGTTTTAAACGACTTCTAATCCTTTTTTTTAGTATAAAAATCAAGTTTTGTAATCTTTTCGGAAACTCTTTAGAAACTAGAATTACTTGTTCTATAACCAATCAATTCCAGATGATAGAAAAAATTGGGATTTCCCATTAATTACTTAACGAACGTAAGTTATTAACAATCTACACATACATAATAATAAAATCGTAGGAATATTTTTAAAGAGTACTTGAGACGTGATCTGCAATCGATATCGAAGCTAAAAACATAGATTTTAGAATTCTTGTTTGTCTGTGTGTATATCCGGGCTAAACTCAAAAAGTACTGCATGGATGTACTGCAAATTCTGTATGAATATTATTTACAGGCCGGGTCAACATATAGGCTACAAATTATCACGCTATCACCAACAGGGGAGGAGCTGTGACCAAGATTGTCTCAAACATAGTACCTAACCTACCTACAACAAAGTATATTATTTAGTCAATTATATTTTTCAAAATCAAGAACCTAATATCTACTTACTACCATGAAAACCACTACATCATATTAGAAAAACAATCATACCTCAATTTGGTTAACAGCTGGAACAATCAGGCTGTTCTTAATGATCCTGTCAATCTGTTCGGTGTTGAAGTTGGACACTCCAATGGACCTGGCCAGGCCAAGCTTCTTGGCTTCTTCCATACCCTTCCATGTTTCCAAGTAATCGATGTTAGCGGGAGAACCGTCAGCCTAAAAAAGTTGCAGAAAAATTAGAATAATGTTTAAAAATATATATAATATGCTTTAGTATTGTTTTCTGAAAGATTTATGTTATCATTATCATTAACTACACGGTTGGCACTATGGCTGGGCAACTGGCAACTATGCAACGTGTAGCAGGTTGGATTCCCGCACGGAGCAACTTTTGTTTGGTCCACAATTTGTTGTTTCGGGTGTGGGTGTCATGTATATGTGAAATTGTATGTTTGTAAACGCACACACGACACAGGAGAAAATCCTAGAGAGGCGGGCAACGCAAAGAAAATGACATTTTAAATAACCTTTAAGTATTTATGCTGAGTTGAGACTTGAAGTTACAATTCATTATCTAACATCACATTACTTAAGACCCTTTTTTTAAGGGGGGAAAATCATCAAACGACTTCTCCCGCCTGGGTGAGGCGGTAGGGAGTGTCAGATTCTTACTGACTAAAAACCACCCCGTTCCTTCTTCCGCACGTCGAGCCGGAGCCCCGGTAACCCGTTAGGTTCTCCGCGACTCCGAATCGGCATCGGCCCTATTGGGCCCTATCCGGGGTGGTCTGGTGGCGCTTTGAGGCGCGCTACTTAAGTACCTGGAGAAACAGTTTTTAGCAAGATATACGCAAAGTCGTAGTCCAAATCACGCGGTAGACATTCAGGTGTCAAAATGAACAATGTATTTGTGTTAACGAATTTATCTGCGATTCTCCATTAAGAATATTCGCAATACGTATTATGGTGACCATCTTCAAGTAAATAAGTAAACAAACTTACATTGCTGGCCTCAGGCGAGTGGATAAGATACAGGTCTACGTAGTCTAGTCCCAGCTTGGAGAGAGACTCCTGCAGAGCGGGCACCACTTGATGACGAGCGTGCTTGTCATTCCACAGCTGTAAGAAAAAGACACCTTTAAGTACCTTATAACATCAACAGCCTTTAGTGGCCACTGCTAAACAAAGGCATCTTCTCACATGGAGAAGGTGCACCACCTTACAACATGCTTTTTAAAATAGCGAAAATCACAGCCACTATTACTCCAGTAAGTCAAGATGTACAGTAGAAAATCATACTACCACTACTACTAGAGATACAGTGATCTGATTCCTATGAGGTGTCTAACGTAGATCCGAAAACAGATACAAAGTAATGAGTTTATAATAATATGTGCAGGCACCTACACAAGAAAAAATATTTTACAGAAATAATACTAAGGGCCTGTTTCACAATATCTGGATAGCCGTTACCTGCCAGATAAATTTGAATTAAGAACGTAATTTATATGAACTATCTGTCACATAAGTTTATCAGGTACTTATATGGAGGTGGTGAAACCGACGCTAAGTATAAAACCTAACAAATATAGCATGACTTATCGATTGCAATATTTTAAAATGACCTATGCACAAAGGATATATTCAATGACAAACTACAATAACAAATGTATTCGTCAAGGAATTCACGAATCTAAGTTTGATTAAGTCAATTATTTAATCAAAAATAAAGAACACTTAAATAATAAATTTTAATGAAATTCTGACGGTCTGATTCGAAAATAAGGATAATCTTGTACATAATTATCTGACTGCCTCATTAGTCGAGTGATTACAAGTGCCGGGCAAGGGGTCTCGGGTTCGATTCCCGGATCGGGCAAAATATTACTGGGTTTGTAAAAACCTCAGTAGTAGCACTGAGTCTGGAAATGTGCCCGGTATATGGCAATAGGCTCACCCCCTATTACATGGGACTCGTAACATAAATAGTGAAAAGTGGGTGTTACATAATTCCTTCCATTCTCCCCATCAGATATCACACACTCACCTTTGCCTTCACATCATCCCCCACTCAATCCACATCATCTTTACCATCACCTACCTTAGTAGTAATAAAAAGATCTTCTCTCTTCACAAGTCCATGTTTTATCACATCACTGATGCCTTTACCGATCTCTTCTTCATTTTCATAAAGAGCTGCAGTGTCAATATGGCGGTAACCAGCTTCTATAGCCCAGTTGACTGCTTGACGCATTCTTGGGATGTCATCCTGGAAAATATAGGTTGAGACTAGTCAAGACTGGCTCATTGGCCGAGTGGTCGCAAGTGTAACTGCCGGGCAAGGGGTCTCGGGTTCGATTCCCGGATCGGGAAAAATATTACTGGGTTTGTAAAAACCTCAGTAGTAGCACAGAGCCTGGAAATGTGCCCGGTATATGGCAATAGGGCAATAGGCCCTATTAAATGGGACTCATAACATAAATAGTGAAAGGAGGGTGTTACATTGTACAGTGGCATTAAGTGCCGTAATGTGCACCTCTGCCTACCCCTTCGAGGATAAAAGCCGTGATGTTATGTTATGAGACTAGTCAAGTGTTTTCTTAATCATCAACAGCCTATAAGTGGCGACTGCTGAGCAAAGCCTCTTCTCACACGGAGTAAGATTGAGCAAATAACCACGGTTAAACGTATAATTATAAATTATAAGCCCAGGTTTCCTCACGATGTTTTCCTATATCATTGTGTCAGTGGCATCTAAATAATCTTGGAAAGTACATATAACTCGGAAAAGACACATTGGTAAGTAGCCGTTGGTAGGTTTCGAACCCGCGCATGAGAAACGTACGGCTTAACCCATGAGTTAGGTATATTGTATCTTAGGTTACATTAGGTTAGTAAATACTTACGAATCCATACGTGCCCAAAGCCAGCATCGGAATTTGGTTGCCATCGTTCAGTGTTTTTGTGGGAGCCTTCCCAGCCAATCCAGATATGACCTAGACATAAAATAAAATGGTCACATAGCTAATAATAGCTATATAAACAAACGACCGTAATGAACTAAAATAAATCGCGGGTTACTCACGGGAATATACTGAGAAAAGTTTAAGCTAAATGAGGGAGAACTCCTCTGTGGTTTTTTTTTTGTTTTACAAAACTTTGCCCCACACTAGGATTATCTCCTGTGTCGTGTTTGCGTTTACAAACATACAAGTTCACATACACATGACACCCAGACCCGAAACATCAATTTGTGGATCACACAAAGTGTTGTTCCATACGGGAATCGAACCCGCGACACGTAGCACGGCAGCCGGTTGCCCAGCCACCGCACTAACCGTGCAGCCACCGGTTGGTAACTAGTAGAGCTTTTCTCAGTATATTCACGTAAGTACCTCGCGATTTTCAGTTAACTTAACTCGTCGAGTACCGGTTTTGTAGACACAATTATAGAACAATAGGTTGCGGTCACCGATGACCGCTTGGTGTTTGACAGTTTAATATGTCTCACGGTAGTTGTTATAAAAACCGTAAAAATCTACCGACTCTATTATATAAAAGAATGAAGCTAAATTCGAAGGAAAATTCCCCTTACTACCAAATAAAATAAACAAAACATATTGTTATCAAAATATTTAGTCAATCAAATCTATACTATATTATAAGCTGAAGAGTTTGTTTTTTTGTTTGTTTGTTTGAACGCGCTAATCTCCGAAACTACTGGTCCGATTTGAAAAGATCATTTTGTGTTTGATAGCCCATTTATCGAGGAAGGCTATAGGCTATAAAATATCACGCTACTATTAATAGGCGCCGAGCAGAGCGAGTGAAACCGCGCTGAAGTAGCTAGTTCATTAATAAGTTCTATTTTTCTATCCGACTTCAAAAAGAAAAAAGGGAGGTTCTCAGTTTTACCTGTATGTATACATGTTTGTGCGCAATTATCTCACGATTAGCTGAACCGATTTTAATACTGTTTTAGTGTTTTCAGTAATGAAGTGTTAATTACACTTAAGAGAAGTTTTATTATATTAATTAACCGACTTCAAAACAGAGTTGGTTGAAGTTTCAAAAATAATTATTCATAATAATACAACTAGCCGACAAAAATACCTACGTCCTACCTATAGCAAAAATAAAAAATATCGAATTGATATAAAAACAACATATTTTAAAGATAATATTTAACTAAGAGAAGACGACACTACCATTGAACGTGTTCAAAATTACTTAATCTTAAACTACGTTCAATATTAAGTATCATTACATTCTTTTCTTTTAATTCTTTCACCTACTTATCATCCTTAGCCTGTTACTTACCCACGAAACTTTAAAAAGGCTTTATTAACGAAGATAAACTTAAATTTAAGTGTGGGAGAGCCATGCTTCGGCACGAATGGGCCGACTCGACCGGAGTGATACCACGGCCTCATAGAAAACCAACGTGAAACAACGCTTGCTTTGTGTTTCGTCGTATGAGTGAGGTTACCGGAGGCCTAATTATCCTCTCCTTCCCAAATCTCCCTAATCCTTGAATCCCCAACGATCCTCAAACTCCTAATCAATCTCCTAACAACCCTCCCAAAAGGCCGGTAACGCACTTGTAACGCCTCTGGAGTTCCAGGTGTCCATGTGCGACGCCGATTGCTTACCATCAGGTGATCCGTCTGCTCATTTACCGACTTATGACATAAAAAAAATCAAAACTAAACATAAAAATATTTACATGCGGCCTGATTGCTTCCTCCCTTCACGGAAAATTGTCATAATTATAAACCTTTCTGTATAATTAACAATTACAACAAAAGTCGCTTTATTCTAGTACAGTTCTAGAAAGTATTTCGAAAGCAAATAAAACACTACACAGTCAACAGTTATGTGCATACAACCGTACAAAAATATCAGAATTTATATCTTTACATAGACTTAAAAATATAAAATAAACTTACATGAAAAAGTGCGAAGAAGGCGACGGTGTTTACAATGAACTTCATCTTGCTGCCGACGGGAACCGACTGACGCTTACGACATCGCAGAGACGCTTTGAACTTAAAAGGATAATAATAAACAAGTTTTTAGCAACTACGACACGATTACGACACGATTCGGTATTTATCTTTATACTTTTTGGATGATTTCCGAACTTTTAGGTTACCAGGGCTTCGATTTGAAACCGGAGTAGAAACAGGGTTGTTTTTAGTCAGTAAGAATCTGATGACATAGTGGTAGAAGGCATTGGATGACGTTTCCAGCTTTAAAAAAAGAAGTTACCATTTTTCCCATGGTTTTCGTTTTTTGTAAATGAGCAGACGGTTCACCGCAGCGACGGCGGATGGTTCAAATTTCAGAAGGTCAGCATGACATGGACGCCTGTAACATCAAAGAAGTTAAAAAAGCATTGCTTGCGTTTTTGGGGACGGGTTGGGTGTTGTTTCACGCCATGTTTGAGGCTATGTGGCCATGGTATCAGTCTAATCGAGCTATTCTATTCATGCTAAAACATCGCACGTGAAATTATCACTAGGCATGTTACGTCAACGAGTCTGAAACAGGGAGAACTTAAGGCTGTTTGTAGCAACGACCTCTGTACATAGGAATACATAACCTTGAAGGTAAAAATGCTTATAACATATATCTAAATAACCGTTGCCTTTCACCTGTCCTCGGGTCTTTACTCGAATGTTGGAAGGGTGTTCCTTTTTGTAATTATTAATTCTGCGAATTTGGTAAAGTCTAATTATTTTATGAATCTGAATACAAAATCGTGCACTGTTGTTACTTACAGAGAAGCAGAAATTTAGGCTTACTTGTAAACATCACAGCTCGATCAGGTTTTGAATATTACGACAGCGGAATTACATAATTAAAATACACATGAATTGTTGTTCTGCAGCCGCCATTTTGGGTCCCTTTATACTACACAGATCCGATATATGCAAAAAAAAGAAATTTATATTATACATAACACTGTCGTTTCGGTTGTTATGTTATGAGTCCCATGTATGTGTATGTAATAGGGAAGGGGTGAGCTTAATGGCTATACAGTGGACTTAAATTCAAAGCTTTGTGTTATTGCTGACAATTTTTAAAAAAACCTACTTCGTGGTGGAAATAGATCACGTGACGGAGAGGCCCACTCGATTAACAAAGTAATTAATATTGGATACACACATAAATAATATTTTTTGTACTATTGATAAGTATCAATACTTCCATGTGAATATTATAATTGCGTATCAATGTTATAAATGTTTGTGTGTGTTTGTTTGTCTGTATTCCACCGCTAAACGAAGCGACGAATTGACGTATTTTTTTAAGTGGAGATAGTTGCAAGGACGGAGTGTTGGATATGCTACGTTTTGTCTCTTCGTAGCTACACACATTAAAAACGATTAAAGTTTAAAAGCTAAAAATTGGTATGCGGACTAATAATTTATAATTAACAAAAAAAATCGTTCATATTTTCATTGCAAATCTGCTCCCAACCCCTTAAAATAGCTCGAGCGAAACCGCGGGCAAAAACTAGTTGATAATCATATACAAAACTGGATTAACAACATCACAGGATGAACGACTTGTTTTTCAAAAGGACAAAGTACTCTGGTTTATTATTTTATTTATAGTTCTAACTTCTAACTGATCAGGTTTGACTAGTTGCCAACATGGGAATGAACTCCATCTATTTTTTTGTTATCACTCAATCAATATGTCTTATGGCATTATAGGACTTGTGGCAGGTTTAATTTTGTTCAGAATTTTGTTTCATTAAATTGTTTTTATGGAACAGTAGGACAAACGAGCTGACGGATCGCCTGGTGGCAATTGGCAAGTGATCACCATTGCCTAGGCAGTAATAGCAATGCTTTTGGAAAAACAGGGAAAGCCATGGGATGTAAAATATTCTGTGTGCCATTTCCTGTTTCAAATTTAATTCAGATCCCTTCAGATGTTTTAATGTGATTGAGTTACGAACATAGACGCAAACTTTCGCATTTATATTAGTAAGATAACTTTTTCACAAGAGCTATAGGTACCGGCCTTTGCTTCACACTCACAAGATCTTAGATTTTTAGCAAAAAATTTGCAAACTATGATTTTTTTAATCTCTTTATTTCTCTGCAATCTGCCCAGTTGGGCATTTAGCTGGTGATTAACCCACTGACAATTTGGTGCTTCAATAATTTTTAAGTGACATTATGTCTGCCTTTTTTTAACGTCTTTGTTGCTAATTATGAAATTTTAGTTCCAATTCTTGTTAACTATATTTACTAATTAGATTATATAAAGTACTTTAGCTTACTTTTTGACTACGATTTTGTTTCCTTATCATTATCATCATATTAGCCACAAGACTGCTCAATATAGGCCTCCCCTAATCTATTTTGTGAAACAGTAATGTCACTCAAGAAGGCTGCTGAGCAGGGTCGCGAGATGGCCGATTCTGCTTGTAGAAGGCGTCGAGGAAGCACCTGCCTAATGAAACCCACTATAATTACGCCTGCATTGCCTTCAGGCGAACCTTTGGGGTACCCGTCTTCAATTATTACATCCCTCGAGTTGGATGTTGTTGCTACGACAGAAGAAGGTTCTGTGGCGCTATTTGAAAGACTATATCCTAAATTATTAATATTTTATGTTACAAGAAAACCCGTCTGGCTACAATAGTTGCAAAATTTTAATTTTAAAAATTAGTTTTTTTTCTATTTGCAGTTATGAATTATAAAAAAAACGCTATACAAAAGCAAACGTCGACATCGATACAAAACAAATTTAAAAGTGAATTGAAAAAATCTTGTATTATAAAACTAGTAGGATAGTATCATGAAACGATTGTAGCCATACTATGATGCATGAAATGATTGTACTAAACAAACCGGTTCCCTTAAAGCAATCACAACAATACTATCAAAGATGTGCAAACCGGATAGCAAGTATACTTAATTATAGTTCGTGCACAACATTGTGTAATAATAGAGGTCCATATAAAATAATGGTTGTATCGTTAATTTAAAATCGTCTTTTTTTTCATGAGCCAGTAAACGAGCAGACGGATAACCTGATGGTAAGCAATCGGCGTCGGCTATGGACACCTGGTACACCAGAGGCGTTACAAGTGCCTTACCAGCATTTTGGAATTAGGAATTTGAGGATTGTTGGCGAAGTGGGGGGGGGGCTAATTAGGCCTACGGTAACCTCACTCACACGACGAAATATAACGCAAGCGTTGCTTCACGTCGGTTTTCTATGAGGCCGTGGTATCACTCCGGTCGAGCCGGCCCATTCGTGCCGAAGCAAAACTCTCCCACGCTTAAAAGCTTATATGTTGGGTAGTACATACGTCTACGAAGATTAAAATGGTCATATCGTTAAGTTGAATTATGGTAAAAAGAATCGTAAATATAAAACGTAGCACCTGTACAATGAGGTACCAGCAATACGAATACCTATTCTATTAGAGGTAAGGTTGAAATGTCAGGAATGCACTGTTCAACGTCACCTTCAAATATCATCCATAATTATGTTCTATTAAGATATAATTTTGAATGCCAGCGAAAAATATCTTTGTCTGTCATTTTGTGGTTTTGATAAAAATGTATTGGAGGACTGCCTCGTTGGCCTTGTTGTCGCGAGTGCGACTGCCGGGCAAGAGGTCTCAGGTTCGATTCCGGGGTCGGGCAAAGTATTACTGGCATTTTAAAAAAATCTCAGTAGTAGCACGGAGTCTGGAATTGCGCCCGGTATATGGCAATAGACTCACCCTTTATTACATGGGACTCATAACATAAATAGTGAAAAGTGAGTGTTACATTATACAGTGGCACTAAGTGCCGTAATGTGCACCTCTGCCTAGCCCCTCGAGGACAAAAGGTGTGATGTTATGTTATGTATTAAAGGACGTGATGCATATAAAATCATGTTTTGTATTCGTCAAAATAGCCAAAGAAACTACGAACTGTGTAATAAATAACTTCTACAAAATCGTTTTTTATAAAAAAGTACTTTATGCACAAGTCATTGTTGATGGATTGGATTAGAAATTAGGTCTATGGGTTACGGTAATATACATTCATCGAATAATATTAAGCTTGATGACCATTTCAATGATATAAAATAGATTTATAACAATAACTACTTTAAGGAATTACTTCTATTTCATATTAAGTGAATTTCGATGTAAAGACTTGCAGCATTAGGTTTAGGTACATTACGATTATCGACTCGAAATCGGCTTAGTGAAGCGGTGAACTCGAATCGAAACTAAACCTCATTCTTATCCCCTATGCAAGAAAATCCAGCACATAGTAGCTAGTTTGTAATTACGTAATTAATAAAGACATCATTATAGTTACACCTCAAAATATTTCGAATACCTTTTATTGTTTAAAGTCTTCAGGGCTATACGTAATCACCGAAATTCTTCTCTTTAAATAGCATCGGTCTGTGAAGGTTGGCATTCTACATAGCTCGCGTCTTTTGTTCCCCAAAGATATAAACAGAGGTGCTAATATTAATCACTTGATATGTCGTACCGAAAATCTCCTTTGTTCATACAAAAATAGTATAACATAAAACATCAGAAATACAGATGGGACCCAATAGGGCTGACGCCGATTCGGAGTCGCGGAGAACCTAACGGGTTACGGAGGCTCCGGCTCGACGTGCATGAGAAGGAACGGGGTGGTTTTTAGTCAGTAAGAGTCTGACACTCCCTCCCGCCTCACCCAGGCGGGAGCAGTAGTTCGATGATTTTCCTACTTAAAAAAAAAACAAACATCTGGTCTATAATGGAGTTGGTGGATCTTGACCAGACCAGTGGGGAGTAACCAGAGACCCACTTTTTCTTCGACTACATAATGATCGTCATCAGCAGGAATACATTTGCCCATTGTTGAACAAGGCCCTCCATCTTATTTAAAAAGGGAGTTTTGTTCTCAATCTTCAGTATGGGACATGGGCACATGACAATGGGCCACCTCGACCGGAGTAATACCACGGCCTTATAGAAAACCGACGTGAAACAACGGTTGCGTTTGTGTTTTGTCGTATAGAGTTATCAGAGGCTCAGTTATCCCTCCCCCTCCCCCATCTCCTCAATCCCTGAATTCTAAACAATCCTCAAGTACCTATTCTCCATAACCTACGTGTACCAGTAGTAGCGCACTTGTAATGCCATTGGTGCTTCAGGTGTCCAAGGGCGGCACCGATTCTTACCATCAGATAATTCGTTCGGCGTTCGTTCGTATTGTACAGACAACTGTACAGGTTTAATTTAGTTTTATATACATAATTACTGTCGC